GCGGGTTCAATAACGGCACAGGCCACAGATAAAGATCTTGGTAAAGAAATATATATTTTTGAGCATGCTTTCGAGTTTCGACGTACTTTCGTTAACCGAGTAAAACGTTACAATTTACATGAATTCTCTTGCGTGTTGCTGTTACATTTGCCATGTTCTTTTACGCTAGGTCCTGCATTTTTGTCGTAAATCACGCAATACTGAACTGTTTTAAACTGGAATAGTTGCATGACTCGAATGCCACGTTAAAACTATGACTGCTGCTGAACATGAAACCAAAATTTTCCCGGTAAACATGAACAAAATTACCGTTGCAATGAAAGCCATGACATGATGACAACATACAGGTAGGTAATCATTTTTGATAAACATCTTGAATGGTTCAGGTTCAGCTAATCATCATTCATCAGCGGATATATAAAGATGGAGTCTGAATCGCAAGGCGTCACTGACCGCGCCTGTCACTGCCATTGGGTTCCAGTTGTGAGTTGATACTTGATAGTAGGCATTTGCTATTTACCATGCAGTACCACGGTAATAAGAAATTTGCACATTTCCGGTATTCATCAATACCTACAGTATCCATTCTCAGTTTTGTCACACAACTACGAGTTACGACGTGACAATTTATTTATTTAGCACCACGCTCATTGTATTCGCGTGCACCACCATTTGAAATTCCCTGCCGGAATTTCTGGCGATGCATCTCGCCGCCGGCGGTCAGCCCAGGAGCACCTCAGCGGCACACTTCGTCCGGGGTCCGGCCAGCGTCAAATCCCGTGGGACCGGTCCCACTGGCCGGGGCTGCCTTACCCGTCCGAGCACGTCCCACGTAATCGGCACCAATTCGCCCGACCGGGCCTGACACCCATTTAGATTTGGCAAAGTTCGGTGGTTCGACAGCCCGGCTGCAGTGCTGTCGTTAGGGTAGATGCAAAGAAATGATAGTTGGATGGTTTGGTCAGCTCACATGCGGGTCATTGGTAAGTCGGGTGGACATTACGGCATGCGGGTATGTCTTTAACTTTAGGATCAGTGCCTGTCTGCCCCTACAAAGGATCGTTTGGAGTGTCTGATAGGTCACCAGGTTCATGCGACATGCTGGTACGGCACAGCACCGGATGACGCGTCGCCGAGAGACGCGTGCCTTCGCCTCCAGGTCAAGCCAGGACGCTGACCCGTCCCGAGCCGGCCGGCCAGACATTCCCACCACTGACCTTCGCTGGACTCCTCGACTCCTCCGGGCTCCCGCGACTCCCCAGTGTCCTCCGCGACTCTGGTGACTCGCACACCGATTCCGAGTCACGCAATGACCTCGCGCACACCACACACTTACACCTGCACGCAGAGGTGCTCACAAGTCTCCCCCACCACGCGTTGAACTCTCCGAGACTCTGCTGGCCCGCCGTACAGCTGCACTGCTTCCACCGACACCTGGACCGGTAGAGCACCGTTAGCCGCCCGGGGTCGGTCTACCTCTGCGCGGACCGGTAGACTGGCCGCTCACCTGTGGTTTGAGACCGGCCGGGTTCGGTGGGAATGTACGGATAGCCGCAGGAGACAGCGTCAGGCTCGAGCGGGCTGGGACGGTGGCCACCCGCACACCTTGAGACTGGGGGACCGGCTAGGTGGGGAGGGGTATGGGTATACTGTCTCGATGGGGAGGGGCGCCGGTCGCCGGCGGGGGAGGGTTGTCGGCTCCGTGGGGACAGGGGAGGGGTACCGGCTCGAGCGGGGGAGGAGGGGGAGGGGCAAAGAAAGCACTCGCGCGGCACGACAGAGGAAGGTCAGTCAGGCAGAGCGATTGTAAAAGCAGCGGAGACAGAAGGGGCGGGGCGGGGCTGGCCTTGGGTCAGACGAGTGCCGGACGCTGCGCCGGCCTAGATGCAACGCCTGTCAAAACACATTGAGACAACTGAAATGAAAGTTTTGTTTAAGGATTTTTCAGGCGTTGCCTACATTTTTGGTCATCGCACATTAGAAATTACCTGTATTATTTCTGATTTAAACAGCTTGGCATCAGCATGGTAAGAATTAAGATGCATTCGGGCGAAGGTGACGACAAATCAACCATGACTTCATGTAGATGTCAGAGCTGTGGATGTGAATTTCATGTTTCATGTTTCATGTGTGTATAAAGCTAGATTTAGAAGAAGTTGGCAAATAGGCAAGTGTTCATTACACATATTAATCAAATTCAGCGTGTCACACTCCGCAGTATGAAGAAGTACGCTTTTTTGTTTTCAAGTTCTCAAGGGCGGTGTAGCGAAGAATGGGATAATTAGGCGGTGTTGAGCCCCGTGCCATTATCAGGGCATATTTTAAGGATTTTTCACTGCGTCCCAAAGGTGGCATAGGGCACACGCTTTGATCGGAAAGGGCACATTGCAAGCGAAATAGTATATAATGCAAGTGAGATAATGTACAGATACATTGTGTACTGTGCTGGTGGAGGGGCACTGCAAGCGGGATATTGGGAGCGGGCTGTGATTGCTTTTGGCCAGTCTTGAAATTCGCCCAGTCGTAGTGCGTTCTTTATCCGCATTCAAAGGGCGGACCGGCGATTTCATGACATTTACATTGTTGTTAGTCACTCGTTTTCCTGAACGACGTTGGGCGTGTTTGACCCCCTTGACGCACCAAATTGTACCTATGCTTGGAGAATAAAAATGAATATGCACATGATTAAAATGTGATACATACGTCTCTTCATGCGTTTTTCACCCTTATCAATCGATTCAAAATAGAGGTTGACGTGTGAAACATTGCCAATTTGCATTGAAGATACTATGTGTTTGAAATAATTAGATGACATAAGGTCAAACAGTACCCACCTAAGTTGTGACAAGAAATCATCGGATTTTAACCCGCGCCCTGCTGGGGGGGGGGGGGTGTTTGAACACCCCCCCTTGTGGTTTTTCGCGAATATCTCGAAAACGGCGGCGCGGAGCGCCGCCGTTTTTGGTACACCTTATCATACATCAATTCTACACATGTTGTGAAAATTTCAGACCAAGGTCATTCAAGGTCAGGTCACCAGGTCACTTGAAGTGACCTCACCTCATAAAAAGTTTCAATGTCCGTCATAGCTACACCGAGTGACCGATCGCTTTGAAACTTTCAGCGATTGCTAAGAGCAATAGCATGTACAAAATGTATATCTCAGAATTTTGATATCGATGACCTAAGGTCAGGTCAATTTTGCGACCTCCCCATTATAAGTCAATGGGAGAAAATTGAAATGCGCCTCTTTTGGACGAAAGACATTATAAACACTCCCAAACACTGAATTACAAGTGGTTTAGACACACTGAACATGAAAATGGTGTCCGTGACCCCTGTTTATGCCCTGAGGTCATCTTAGGTCACGAATGGTGTCTAACAATTTTTCGCAAATAACTTTTGATAGGGGCATGCTAGAGCGATGAAAACGCCTTAGATGTGTTCAGCTCGACGATACGGATCGACTGATATGCAACATGACCCTTTCCGGTCAGGTCATGACCTTGACCTGAGGTCAAATTTTCAAGTTGACCTTTAAAGGTCAAGTTATGGTTCATTCGATGCGTCTTGACGAGAGGAACACGATGCCGGTAAAAGTAAGCTCGTACAAGGTCTGGGTCAAAAGTTATTGCAGAAAAACTGTTTCCGAAAAAATCGGCTATTTTTGCAGTTTTTGCCCCCTGCAGGCAAAACCGTTGACGTTAGGTCAAATCTGAGAAAATTACTCAGAAAGGGCGTTAATAGGGCTATCGAATGCGCTTTTCCGCGGCGCTGTAGCTCTATTGGTTCCCGAGTTATGCGCTGGCTTCTTGGAAATTGTCGACATCCGACCTGGAAATCGGCAAAATTTTGCCTTCAATGACCTCTGGTGACCTGACCTTTGACCTGACCAAAAAATTGACCGAAGTGATTTCCTCATTATTTTTGACGCTCTTTCGAACGCCGCCTTCCGCGTATCGCTACGTGGCCCAGGAGCCGAGTTAGAAGGGGGGGTGTTCAAACACCCCCCCCCCCCAGCAGGGCGTGGAAATCCAGGACCCCCAGCCGGGCGCGGGTTAAAATATGCCCTGGCCATTATGGTTCTTAGCTCTAACATTTTTCATTTACGCGATGCAATCTGTTCCGCTAGTGGAAGCTAATGAGATGCTTAGTTATCTCTTCATTAGAACGAACTACCCTCCGCAAATACGATATGATGGAAGATGATGAAATAGAAGGAACCCGAAAGCAGATGGAATGGAACGTAATTTCGGAGAAGCATGCCATTACGTATTCCGTTCTGGTTTACCCTGTTGTTGACTCCCAACTTTCTGATTCTCCGTCTCACTCCGGCCTTTTCATGGGTCGTAACTTTGATTGAATGCGCACATGCCTTGCAATTTCGGGTTCTCGCAGAAAATATGAACACCACTCAGTATTCTGGAACGCAGAGGAGCAAAAGTGCGAGCGAGGGTCTGATTTTCGCGCGCTCAAATCACTTCACTAATAATTGGGGACGCTTCGAATGTTGATAGCAATCGTGGTATCGCAAAGAGGACATAAACGTCAAGTAACGGCGACGGTGATTTTTTTTCTCCACAAATTCTTCTTCAGCCGACCTTAATTTAGGCCTGACAACAGGAAATCTATGTACTGCAGCGTCGTGTCATTTGCAAAATCACGTTAGGAGTGGACACCTTTATTTAAGCGATTTACTCAGGGGTTCAGCCATTTGCAAAGAAGTGTTCAAAAGCCGACGATTGTGATATCGCTACCAGAGTACCTCTCGCTGATGAAATGCGGCAAATAAAAAGTGGAATACAGCGCCATTAATTGTCGACGATGACAAACGCAATATGGTGAAGTAATGTTAGCTGATGTTTGAGAGGCCTCCATAACATTGGCATTCTAATGTGCGAAAATCAAGTTCTTTATTTTGGATACTTTGCTAGTCTAAACTTTTTATCAAGGATGGCTTAGTGCTACGCCTGTTCAAACAACAGCAAGAAAACGCATGCGAAGGTATGCATTTTATTCACTCATACGATCCTCCCAATGAAAGACATGCGACCTAAAAGCTTGGATTCTTTTTTACAAGGTCGGCAACAAATCGTTAAAAAAAGGAGCAAAACATTGCAGAACATCTCTCATCACTACCAACAGGATCAATTTCAGTTAGTTTTAAACCAAGCCTGAAGTCAAGTCGCTTCCAACGCTTCTTCAAACTGTATACTCTAGTTTCAGTTGCTTAAAAATTTCTATTTTTACATTAACGTCGCAGAAAACCTTAAATAAAGGTTGGGATACGACAAGTGATGGCACGTGATGACATAGGCCGCCCGTGAACACTTTATATTTTGTTTTATAACGTATGGATCACCTTAATTTCACGTGCGATGAATAGCTCAATGCTCAAAACACCATGCAGCGCCAACCACTGCTTCCACCTAACGCTGTCATATCGACAACCCCACCCCATTTTCGTCCTTTCATAATTCATCCTGCGAATCTACAAACGCCATGCCATGCTTCATTGTTCCATCCTACAAACCACGACTCCAACAAACTAGACTCTAGACTAAATCCGGCATCGACAAGCCCTCTTCAGCAGCTGCATCCTATTCCTCCAGCGCTTCATCAGTGGTGAAGCAGACGACGCTGAAGGTCGAGTTGACACAGTCCATGTTGTACCAGTAGCCGTCCTTGGTGTAGGCGCAGTCTCCGAGAAAGATATCTTCATCGGGGTTGTCGGTGGCCCAGCGGTAGTAGGAGACGTTGGAGCTCGGCCAGAACCAGGGGTCGTACTCGGAGTCGCGGTAGAGGCCCAGCCAGACGGCCAGGCCGTCAGCTAGCTGGTCGAGCTGTGGATGAAGGTGATACATGCAATTGCACATGAGATGAGCGAAAGGAGCATCTGTGGTCTGAGCGGGGTCTGGCGGGTGTGGTGGATCACTACAAAGAGCTCGAGGGGTCTGAGCAACGTTTGAAGTGAGCAACGCTGTACATATGCTGGGCAATTGACAGTAACTGTGTGAGGAGAAAGTGGGTGCTTGGGTTTGGCGGCAGCCCACTTCTTGAGCTCACAAAACTTGGGTACTGTCACTGACGTAATTGCCGTGACTTATCATCAATTAAATGACATCATTGCACAGGACCATTTAAAACTCTCAATTATCATGTAAAGTCGCCGGAACTTCGACAGTCATTACCGTGAGCTGGTCCTCGTAGTTGTGTACTTCTGGCAGCGTTGCAGTCGGCTCAAAATCTCGACAGGCCACTTCTGCATCTTCTGCGGTAGTTTTGAAGAGATCTCCAGGCAGCGGCAAATAACAATCGCCGTCTCCCGTGGCAACCCAGTTTGAGTCTGGGCACAGCAGCGCCGCCCTGGCGGTGAGAAGGAGAACTACGGTGGCAAGGGGCGACATGGTGCAGCCGTCTGGAGGGAAGCGCTCGCTGCAACCGGCTTTTGATGCTGCGGTTTCTCAGGGGCGGAGCCGGAGGTAAGATAGGACGCTGGTCACTGAGTTTGAAGGTGCCTTATCGGTGGGGACAGATGCGAATTTCACGCGGAGCTTTGGAAGCTCTCGCTTCTCGAAAGTGTTCTAGCTGCTAAAACCTAAAACCAACAACTTACCTAGGTATATTAAAAATACATTTTTTTGGACGATCGGCTGGCTAATAAGTTAATATCCATGGCGCATGGTATTGGTGCTCTATACTAACCGAAACCTCTGATTTTATCGCATGTCAACATGACCTAACCAATAAATGAAAATAAAATCGTTAGGTGATGTTCGAGACAGAAAACAATGTTAACGTCAAAACACTGGATAGGCACCTATACGCCGGGGCATCAAAAAGTTTCGTTCTTCACCATGAACTAGAAATGACAGAATTTGATTTTCTGTACATGACGGCCGTTACTCTTCGACATATCACCATACATGACTGCAAACTTCTTCCGTCGTTTCTTGAGCTGCCTCTGGCAGTCATCGCTGAACTCTTCCCACTCCGGTAAATGACTGCTTCACCTGATCAATGACGTCATTTGTCATCAAATCACCGGTCATGCTGTGGATTCTTCATTTCTCGGAACACTCCAGAGTCACTTAATACCAGGTCAGATGAGATGCGATAGGATTTAATGCCCACTTCATTAAGTTTCTTCAATCGCATCTCCAAACTTCTTCAAAATGCTTAAAAGTAAATGCTAATTATTATCTGAACCTCATCAAGGCAGTCGGTAATGACTTTCCTACGCCAGATCCAGAACACTGACAGCATTGGCCTTCTCGGCTTCTGCATTTTCGCCTTATATGATAAGAACTGAAGGGCAGATGCGCTTTGCCTTAACTTCTTGATCATCTCTTCTGTCTCTGGATCCAATGCATATATACCCAGCATTCGTCAAAAGTCCCCAAACTATCGAAGGTCATTGTGATATCCGTTTCGGAACGAAAAATTAGTGTAGGGGAGGATGGGGTAATTTGGCCGGCAATATAATTAAACCGCCCCCACCTCTACGATATCTGACAAAAGCGAATGAAATTCTAGCCACTATTTATGTGTCATTGGTGGAACTAATCCGTGGAAAATTTTCAAAAAATCTCCCCTTCGTAATTTTCGTCAAAATCGTTAAAACATGAATTTGATTAGAAAATGGTAACTTTTACCTACTTATTCCGTTCGAAAAATTATATAGCATATGTGCCATGTACACGGGTGATTTTTTTTACAGGGCAAAAAGTTTTTAAGCCTAGAGAATACCAAAACATATAACAAACGCCAAAAAAGTATATCCATGTGAAAGGAAATTGTTTGTCATTTTGTTTTCAGGATCTTTTAAAGACTTCTTGGGACTCATTCTGTTGTGAAGTTCCGTGAAAATGGCGCACAACAAAATGTTTTCCCCAAAATCGCCAATTACTCCAGGCTTGCGTGCATTAATTAAAACTGTGCTCACTTCGAGCACGTTCTGTAAGCCTAAACGGAGCTGAAACTCAAAGTTTGTGTGTGCAAATGAAATGTCACTGTCAGAATGTGCTTTTTACAAAGATATACATTTGCTGTCAGTTGATCTGTTTTCTGGTACCGCCATTGCTCTTTACTTTTTGCCCTGTATAAAAATCACCCTGTAGAATTCGGGCTGTGGATAAATTTCGACAATGTGGTCCCATTGCTTAGGATATTCAGCGTTTTCAAGAGTAATTTTATGCATTTCCGTATTACCGTAACGACTTTATAGACACAGCTTTTCAGAATGGCAATGCGGGGTAATTTGGCCGGTGCCAATAGAGCAGCTTTGACGGTGCTCTCAGGATCGCTATGCTGGGACGGCCGACTTGATAAGGTCGTGCCGAGCTGGTTGGGTTTACACTTTGCAGGTGGCATTGCGGCACAGTCTGCCTCCTAGGGGCTCACTAAGACACTGCGCAATGCAACACGAAGACGATGTTAGGGATCTATTCAACCCAAACTGATAGTCACATCTCCAGCTCACAAACACTATCGACAACTCGTTAGTTTGCAGACATCGGAAAGTTACGAGATGTGAGGATTTGAGACTGAGTTCGGGTTATTTCATTGATTGCTAAAAAAATTTAATTGAAATTAGTCGATTTTTTCCTTACTAGAAAAAGTTAACGTTTTTTCCCAAACAATGTCTTCTCACTAATCATTAATTACAAGTTTCACTGTAAAATATTTTTACCACAAATAAAATGGAAATGTTTGACTGAGCAGTGTATGCACAGGAAGCGCATTTTCAGTTGTGCTGGAAAATGCTGAAATAAGACCTGAGTCAAAATCATTTGAATATAAGTCCGACACTGAGTCAGCCTAAAAATGCGCGTAGGACACATGTCATTGCTGACGCTGAAGCTGACTCGCCTGTAAAATCAAATCAAGGCCGTAAATAATCACCGGCCAAATTGTCCCACCCCACCGGCCAAATAATCCTGCTAGTGGGGCAATTTGGCCGCTTTGCAGACCTTTGTAAATGTCAAAATTCGGCCCTAAGTAGCTACTCAACTCAATCATTTTCAGTTTACTATACAAGAAAACTTACAATGAATGTTTCACCTGTCCGCGCTGAGAGAGTGCAGAAATATGTCGCCAAGTTCGAGCTACAGCGCTTCCTAAAAAAAAACGACCAAATTACCCAGCGCTTCCTAAAAAATCGACCAAATTACCCCATCTTCCCCTAATATCTTATGTCGGTTTCGAGGAGAGCTGACGAATCGGGATGCAACTCACACCTGCAGCTGCTATCTAACCTCTACCAGCTGTGAGAATCTCACGAACCGTCTCACACCAACATATCTAGCCCCTCCCTCCTCGTCACGTGAGCGCCTAAGCCACGCCCTCTTGACTCCGCCCCCTCCGTCACCGCCAAAAACTGCGCCGTTGTTCTCTCCTTCAGACACAACCTCACCATGCTCGGTCCGAACACCTGGATAGTTCTCTTTTTGGCCACCAGGGCGGCGCTGGGGTGCCCCAATAGCCAATGGCTTGCTACGGGAGACGACGACTGCTTTTTGCCGCTTCCACCTTCTATGGCAAATGTGACGGCTGATGACGCGCTGGAAATTTGTCACGACATCGAGGCCACGTCTTCACTTCCAGAAATTCTCGACGACGAAGATCAACAAATGGTAAGATGATGAAAATGGTAAGACTTGGAGATAAGGACAGCACTGAACTAGAGCCGCCGGGGTTGGATGCAGCTACCCGAGTGAATTAGATTGGAAATCTGTCGCAAGCTGTAATTGACTTGGATGTCGTTGTGTGCAAACAGGTGCGCGTGCTTCCGGAAATGTTTGCCGTCAGCCATTTGGATGTGTTTGGCATGTTCGCTATTGCATCTTTTTGAAAGCTGCAAGGGATCAACGTAGTTTTTTGAAGCCCCAGCAACTTGTGTAATGTCATGTTTGACATATTGGATAATGCTTAGGATACTACATACCCAGTACGAAGCGTAACATTCAGATCAGCATGAAAATTGCGTGGGAGGGGAGGGGAAAGGCGCAGAGGGTGGTTCATGGACCGAAAAACAACTGAAGTTCTGAATCTGGTTCATCCACATAACCTGCTCAAAATTTAAAATCTAAGTCATGGTTGCCGTTACACTCAGGCTTTTATGTGTGTATTGTATCACTTACACTCTCTCCCTGTCACTCTTACACCCGTCGTGTGTGTTTTATTATCATTACACTCATCGGTACACTTAATATGTTCATTAAGTTCACTGACTCCGATAAACTCATTGTCTCGTGACGCTTCCTCTTTTGTATCCCCACTGCGCCCCTTGAACTCATCCAGCTGGTGTCGCACGCCTCCAGTGAATCCTTGAAGTTCATGTCGTACGCCTCAATTGGGTCCCTTGACGTCCCCTCGTTGTGCGGCAGGTTCACGAGCTCAGTGGCGGTTCGAACATCTGGCTGGGCCTGCGCCGCAGCTCCTCCACCAGTGCCTGGGTGTGGCCCTCCGGCAAGGCCGCCATCTTCACCAAGTGGGCCAACGAGCAGCCGGTGCAGGGAGACGAGAACTGTGTCTACATGAACTTCGCGCAGGGAGCGTGGTACAACTCCTACTGCAACAGCGGCTCCGACACCAACATCGCGCTCTGCTACGTCAAGTGGAAGGAGGAGATGGATAAGCAGTAGAGGAAGAGAGGAGAATAGGTGAAGAGGAGGAAGACAATGGAAAGCAGAAAAATCGCATGTGGTCATTTTTTATGGTGAAGGTACCTATATTAGGAAACTACTTCGACGTCGTCCCAAGCGAAACAGAAATGACATTTTGTGCCCGGATGATGCTGCATTGTGCATTGGCTGTGCATGAACTGTCTCTGTCAATAAATTCTTATTCGAAACCATTAACAATGATTGTTCAGTTGGTGAGCAATATATTTTTGTGCCAATATGGTGTCTATAAAGGTAAAGAGCTTCGTCATCCATGAAGATGCTTTCGACGTCTGTTGCCATCCGTCGCTTGATAGTGGGGACACCCGTCACTGGGCGTTCTGTTGATGGCTGGGGGGGGGGGGGGGGGCACAGGATTCTTCAGATCAGACGTTCTCCCCACAATACTTCGTGTCCACATGAGCCGTGATCCCGTGAGTATACACTCAGTATTTGGTGCGACATCATCGGCTACACCACTTCATTCCCTGGAAATAAGCAGTGCTTGCGGGCATGCTGACCGCGTCACGAGCCCAAGGCCTTTGCCGAGGCCAAGGCCTGGAGGCCTTTGTTGCTACATTTGGCGCCCACGACTTCCCACGACTTTATTTCGTGACATTTTTCGCTGAATTATGCATGTGGGCGGATTTCTAACCCTCGCCCGTATTGGTGTTTTGCCAGCCGCGAACAGCCCGATCTTGTCGCCCCAAGAACGGAATTCATGAAAAGCTATCTAGTATCTTTCTTACCAAGGCTCTAAGCTGGAACAGTCTGCCCTCTCAAGAGAGGAACGCCTCAAAGAATGAAGTAATAAAGTACATTCTAACTAAGGCAGACATTGACAATACATGATTATCAGTCATATTCTTATACAATGTATCGTTTCAACGTGTGCAATTGCCAGTGTTTCATTTGATGTCACTCGCCAGTCACTGTATTATCCGTTTGAGGACAATGTCTTTGTATCAGGATTCAGGAGAATATGAGCAAATGAGAACCGAATCACCGGATGCCACTTGTACCAGAAAGAAAGGTCTTCTTTCCGACTTTGTTCCCAGCTTTGGAAATATAACCCGTTTTGGAAACAGTTGGCTCCAATTAAGGACTGACATGACTGCTGCTTCCTTAACCCTATTCCTGGCGGGCTCCACCGGGACAAGAAACTGGCGGGGGGGGGGCCGATTCGGCCCCCCCCCCCTGAGATCTCGAGAACGAAGCAAGATAGCGACAAGCGGTAAACGGCATCGGATACGCATGGACAAGGTCTACAATTTTTACACAGGTCATTTTCAGGTCAGGTCAAAGATGACGTCACAGGGGTCGAAAAAGTCAAAATGGCGGCGCTAGATATGGAGAGAGTTTTTCTCGAATAACTTTCGAATTAGTCAAGATAGGAACAAACTAAGGGCATCATCGTGATCCTCTCGTCAATCCGCATCGAATGATATATATGTTGACCTCGAAAGGTCAAGGTCAAAGGTTGACCTCAGGTCACGTGACCTCGAGGTCATCATGTATATCATTCGATGCGTCTTGACAAGCTGAACACAATGAGACCATCCACGCGTCTGTATCTTGTTCCTGTACGGAGTTATTGGCCAAAAACCTTTGGTGACCTTTGATGACGTCACATGACCTCACAGCTGCCCAACAGCAAAACAGACCTCAAGGTAGTGAAGGTTGATCGTATATGAAGTCATGTATGGTATATGGGGCCATTCCGACCCGTTTTAGTGGTAAAAACAGGGAGTTGATTTTTCCCCCATTGACTTATAATGGGGAGGTCGCGAAACTGACCTGACCTTAGGTCACCGATATCAAAATTCCGAGATATACAAATTGCACATACTGGTACCCTAACTAAAGCCTGAAGAGAAGAAATTGATCGGTCAAAAACTCTAGCTCTGGCGTGATTGCAAACTTTTCTGAGGTAGGGTCACCAAACCGCCTCTGGTGACCTGACCTGAGGTCAGATCAACTCAAAATTTCAGACATGTTGCGTAGAAGCCTTATAGGAAAAGTCAGAAAATTTGAGCTTCCTAGCTCAACGCGTTGGGGAGAAATAACCAAAAAACCTCAGGGGGGGGGGGCTCCTGAGGCCCCCCCCCCCGCCAGGAATAGGGTTAATGCCCTCCATGCCAATGTTTTTTTTCTGCATTCACAGGCGAAGTAACTTCCTACATGGATAAGCGCGGGAAAAGCTCTGACTACAAGCGGGTCGTTCATGGACAAATCAACAAGTTCATTAACGAAAAGATACAGGATCTACGCCGGAAGACGACTCGTGAGCAGCATCCGCGAGTGCTGTCTCCGGAGACTGAAGTGAATATGGTCGAGGAGAGTGAGTGAGTGAGTGAGTGAGTGAGTGAGTGAGTATGTGAGTGAGTGAGTGAGAGAGTGCTTTGTACGCCGATCGAGCGTGGATGAGAGGAAGTAATGGCATAGCGTTTACCTTTGTTCGTTAATAAACGGCCGCCCACGTGTGGTCCAAGCTATGTGGTTTTTGTGTCGCGGTTGATGATCGGTGATCTGGCGGCTGAAAACATTGTGACGAACGTCGATGGGTTTACACAATTTCAACATATTTGGTTATAATAACACGGAACAAAAATGATAGACGAACGCGTTTCGGCTAAATTACCGTCATCAGCGTCTAAAAGGAGAACAAGAGGCACACATCGAGCAAATATCACAGTTCCTATCATTTTTGTTCCGTGTTATTATACCTGTCTCAACTGAAATATATTTGGTTATCACTTTAACACATTTTAAAACGGCGCTTTTATGGTGTCCAGCTAGGACCATTTGGAAATCATTTCAAATGGATATCAAATGGTTCAATGTAAAACCATTCCAGATGGGTTTTTAGTGGTATCAATTGGTTACCTATTTGATATGGTGGCAGTCTGAGTCTGTTCATGTAACGTGCATGTAGCCTGTGGGTCACCTGCATGTGCTCATACACGGATCTGTAGGTATGTAAAGTGTTGTGTGTGAAAATTTTGGTGATTTTGTATGTATGCATCTCTTAACCCTCGCCCCGTTGGGGGGGGGCCATTTTGGCCCCCCCTGTGGTTTTTCCTGAATAGCAAGAAAACGGCGGCGCGCAGCGCCGCCAAATTTTCAGTACCTTCCCGGGCATCAATTTGACACCTTCACACCAAATTTCAAGTCTTAGGTCACCTTAGGTCAGGAGTTATTGAGGTCAAACTGAGGTCATGTTCGAGCAAAAATGAGCAAAAAACATGCAAACTTGAAACGCTCACCAAATCTACAGTTATCAAGCAATTTCAAAGTTCTTTATATGGTCTAGTAGACAAAAAGCGGCGCTACAAAACTGCTATCTCGGATTTTCAAAATTTTTGGTTTTTGACAAAAAAAAATCAAAAAATTGATTTTTTTAGAAAAAACTTTGAAAAAATCCAAAAATTTTCCGAATTTCGAAAAAAAACCGGAATATATGTGATAGTACCAGCGCTCTTCTATATACATACCAAATTTCAGATCGATATCTCGTTTTTTGGCCAAGTTATAGCGAAAAAACTGTTCAAAAATGATGACGTCAAATTTTTGAACTCAATTTTTAGCAATTCTAGACCACGTACGGCAAAACAAAGACCACCATTGAACTCCCCGTGACGAGCTGCATCGATTTGATACCCATTTTATGCAAAAATATTAACTTTGAAATTTGACCTAATTTGACCTGACCTTGACCTGACCTTGACCTGACCTTGACCAAAACGTGATCTAAGCTGGCCCCAAAGGCTGCCTGACCCATATAATCGCATTTGTCATGTAAAATTGACCATAAAACATGTATCACACGACACTTTCATATTGTGACCCCCCGTGACCTGACCTCTGTGACCTGACCTGGTATCAGTGACCTCAAATAGCAAAATATAGGTTTGAAGAACATTTCCCTATCGATGATTTTCAATGAAATACATTTTACTCGATTTTACAACGCATTTCTTGAAGTGCCTGTAAACGGTGAAAATTGGACCTTTGACCTGACCTGTGACGTCATCGGTTTGACCTAGGTCAATAAAATTGGGTCACAAGGTAGTTCCCCGTTGGGGCTATCCAACGCCGTTTACCGCTTGTCGCTATGTTGCGTGGTTCTCGAGATCTTAGGGGGGGCCAAAATGCCCCCCCCCCCCAACCGGGCGCGTTGCTCGGCAGAGCCCAACGGGGCGCGGGTTAAAGGTATCGCTTCACGGGCTGCGGCGGCTCGGCGAACTATTCCATTCAGTTTGAGGAACCCAGCAGTGAGGTCATGGGCTGTGTCATAAAAGGTACGCTGTGACACGATCCTACGCCAGCGGCAGAAGGAGAACTGCTGTACTTACATATGACGCAGGCACCAGCAGCTGACAACTGGGTCGAAACAGGTGGAGGCCAGCCACAGAGGTCATGCTCGTATCACTCACTCTCCCTTGACGTGCGAGAGGACCAAGGCGCTGACCACGGTTGGCAGAAGTTCACAAGGGATGTGGTGACGCGCGTGGGACAGCCCAATGAGGATACCGTTGCATTTTTGGACGAGGGCCGATACGTGAGCGTCCCAGGTGAGGTGCTTGTCGAAAACCACGCCAAGGTTCCTCACCGTGGGGCCCTCACGGATCGTGTCCTCACGGAACCGAATTGAGATGGGATCCAGGCTGCGGCAATTTTGGCGCGAGCCAAAGACGATGAGCTCAATTTTGGCTGTGTTAAGTTTTAAGCCGTTGGTATGAAACCAGGCATCAAAAGGGTCCAGAATTTGTTCTATAGATAGTGGCGATGAGATGAGGGAGGGAATCTTTTTTGCCAGAAAGTGAATTTGGGTATCATCAGCGTACTGCACCACGTGCGCCCCAGGGGCGTAGAGGGGGAGGTCATTGGCAAATATTTGGAACAGGAGCGGGCCGAGCGAGGAGCCTTGGAACACGCCGATAGGATTGGGTAGAGGATCGGAGAGGACTCGGTTTCCTCGCCCGTCAGTTGTGCATACTGATTGGGTATGGCCACGGAGGTAAGAAGAAAACCAGGTCGGATCGAAAGAATAGGTTTGAAGTTTGGATGTTAGCTTTGGATCAAAGCTATTAAGTTATAAGCTATGAAGTTTGGATAGTAAGTTATAAGTAGAAGTTTGGATCAATGCTATTACATATGATAGTGAGCGATCCGAGCTTCTCGTTTTTCTCAAAATAATTATTCTAGCTGATAGCTGAAAAATGTCTTGTTATATCGC